AGACTGTTCCATCTTCTTTCATCATCACGTCTGTTGAAATTTATCTCCCCATGAATACCACCCTGGGCTTCTAACTTATTAATAAGACAAAAGAATTTGTGCCAAAATAATTTATTCTTCTCAGGTAGTATTTTATATTAACTGGAATCTAAATGCCTTAGCTGGAAGGTAAGGTCTAGTTTGGAAATTTAGGGCCCAGAGGAGGTGACTGTCCCACAAGACGGTGTGTATGTCGGGAGGTAGGTGGCAGGCGGTGGAGGCGGTGGCTAGGAGGGGCTACTCAAAGCAGCCATTTCACCCATGGGATCATCCAGTATCCTTTCTCATGAATCACATACGAATGGAATCATTCAATGCTTAGCTTCCATATGCCCCAAAGGTGAGTAACACCAGAAGATTTAGTCATTAAAATACGTTTTAGGTTTTGTCACAAGAGCACAGGTAGCCAAAACTAAGAAGTTAAATCTGACCTTTCCTTTCAGTAAGTAGAGGGAACTTGACAAGAATTCTCCTATCACTTACATAGTCTGAGGAATGAACTGTTAAACCAGAGTTCTGATTTGCTCCTTAAGAGCAACGATGACCTTTTGAACATTAACTTACATATACTAATGTATTCTACTGGTACAATGTGGAGTTTTCTTATCAGCGATGTAAGTAAGGAGATGCTTTGTCACATACTTCACAGGGAAAGGAGAGTGCGAATACAGAAAGCTGGTGTAGTGAGAGTTACGGTACTGTTCCTACTGTCCCAGTGGGGCTTATCTTTTTTATTGTATTCCTATCTTAAAGTCTTCTCGTGGATTTGTGATTAATACTGGATAATGAAATAACAAGACACAAATTCTATTGTACTTCCCCCTCCTGAAGTATCAAAGCAGGAGAAAGCTTATAAAAAGTGCCTCAGTTTCCCCGTTCAAAACATGCCTCAATACTGTCCGTTCGTTCACAGATGCTTAGTCCTTGTCTGCCATATCCTTTAGAAAGAACTGCTCTGTCAGTTACAAAACAAAACATTGCATTCACACCTCCTCCTCCAGAAAGTTTCTGCTTATGATTTTATTTTGTAAAAATTCAGTATATTAGATTTACATTCAAAGAGCATGGATTGGTAAGTTTTTCTAACAGTATCTACTGTGCTGAACAGAAATTCACCTGAAATTCTAAACTGAAGAAATAACAGGCTCAAGTCTGTGCCCCTCTGAGCTCCTAGGGCGTGGAGAGCCTCTGCTGCCACCTTTTGCCTTCTTTGGACCCGCTACGAGGCAGAAGGAGTACTTGGTTCTGTCTTAGGTGTTACATGTTATAATGCTGCTAACTGATGATAGGCAATGACTGTGTTGTTCAACTACTACCTTTATGAGGAGCTGATAAAACCCAGCGAGCAACTCAATGACCGGTGAAATAAAAAGACAATTAGGGACTCGGCATCAGCATCAGCTACAAATTTTGCCAATCAATGGCGCTCTCTGGCTAATGGCAGGCAACTACAGCTCCCAGAACAACAGGAGGGGGTTCCTTTTGCTAAGCATCATCTACTACTTGTTTCCTTGCGTCCAAGTGGACAAAAGCAAAGGAGAACACCTGCAAAGGGGCCAGTAAATTCAAATAATGAAAAGTGAGGAGAAAATGGTCTTGAATGTACCATCAGAAACATGAGGGTAGCTTGGAATCTTCAGCCAAACTGTTGAATCGGGCCTATCTCCCAAACTTTGGGATTGTCACTTACAAAAATGACAGCAGACATACAAGAAGGGAGCAATTTTTTTGGTATCAGAATTTTTTAGCATCTTTATCTTAGGTATTATTAGTGTTTTGTGTACCATATTACTTTAAGATTATTATAAATCCCCCTTTACCATGTGTAGTCAATTCTTACCTTTTTTGATTTTTGGAGAGGAAGAGGTCTACGTTTTGTTTTTTAAATGAAAGCTACTGGGAAAAAATCCAGTTTACTTAAGAGGAATTTGTAGAAAGCAATCTACTGCCTTTAGGAAGGATATTTATACTATCATTATTCAAGATCTATAACTCTTCAGTTACTTGTGTTAGCTTATCTTCTACTCCCTTGCAAAATTTATAAACAAAATTTATAAATTTATTTTTCTATAGTTATTTTATGTGATCTGTTTTTCTAGAGACCTTTATTTTAGGAGTGTGGAGGGCAATGAAATGGGGGTAAATAACTTCCTCTAAAACTCCTGAAGCTGACATGAAAGCGGACAAACCAGTGGTCAGACATTGGCCAAAATGGTACACGACAACACGGGGCCGGCAGCTGACTCCGTAAGTCAGGCTGGGCTGCCTGCTGTCATGGACGCGCTGTCACAGAGCAACAGTATATTTTTTTCCTCTCATGCTCCCTTCTTCATATTCACAGGAACAGTTCAGACTCAGAAAACATGCCTGACATTTACTCAGAAACCAAGGGAAAGTGGGGTGGAGGGGCCCTTCAGTACTGATAGCCTAGATGCAGACAGATCAAAAGCTAAATTCAATTTAAGCCACCTCGGGCAGAAAAAGTAATTGAATTAAACTTCCTCTAAATATGATAAGTTTGGGGGATCTTAAAACCAGGCACAAAGAACCAGGTTAGAGTGAGCTGTTGCGTATTAAATGAGTGCACCGAGCTCTAGCCGGTCCCCCTACCCCTGCCAGGGAGTTTGATGAGCTGCTGATTGCCTCTATCACTTTACTACTGAGGCTGAAAACTGCTTAAGCTGCTTATGGGGCTCCAGGGGCTAATGGGCTGGCCCACCAGGAATACTGCTGTCACTGACTTAAGGAAGCTGCGTGGCATATGGGGTTTGATTATTACAAGGGGGGAAAAGTCCGCAAGGCATAGGAAAGCTTTAAAAAGCAGGATTTATCACACCAAATGGATACACTACTTTGACACCCTAAAATGAATATGGAATTTCTCTGATTCTTTCTCTTCATCTGGCATCAAAACTCATTTTTGAAAGGCTTTCTCAAAGAGTACTCACTTTGGACCCCACCCATTCTGTTTGAAACCACCTTAAAAGAATACATCCATGCCTTTAAACATCTCAGGTGGGTCCTCAGATACTATGTCAGGTAGAGTCCTAGAAAATAGGTGAGTGTCTAATGGATATTTTAACTGAGTCTTCTCCTTGCATGCCACTGGGCAATAGTAATTAAAAATAAACCTTTCGGGGCGCCTGGGTGGCTCAGTGGGTTAAAGCCTCTGCCTTCGGCTCAGGTCATGATCCCAGGGTTCTGGGATCGAGCCCCGCATCTGGTTCTCTGCTCAGCAGGGAGCCTGCTTCTCTCCCCTGCCCCCCCCCCACGGCCTGCCTCTCTGTCTACTTGTGGTCTCTGACTGTCAAATAAATAAAATAAAATCTTAAAAATAAATAAATAAATAAATAAAATAAACCTTTCCCCACCCCAGCCAGCAGATCATTGCTGCTTGATTATGTAGTACAGGGTATGCGGGACTGGAGAAGTGGGAGGAGCTGATGTGTGCAAACACGTTAAGCCTGATGCACATGAGAAAATTAAAACACTACCGTTCTCTCAGACCTTTCCAACTAAATGCCCTAAAACCACTTGTACCATTTAAAATAACTTTCCTCCCTCAGGGTGTACAAAGAAAACACAAGTCTTAAGTTAAAAAACAACACTTAAAGTAGTTTTAAAGTCTTGAAAAATGACTGAAGCATCTGAAGAGTTTTTAAGCTGACCTCATTTCCCCGGGCAAAACAACCAGTGAGGAAAACAACAAACAACAGCATCGGAGCAGTAGGAGATACTCTGGAAGTTGCCACAATCGTTTTTTTAATTGACTCTTGAAAGAATAGATACATGGAAAGTACTGCTTTCATTTAGTGTCTAAAAGCTTCTGAGGGAGGGAGTTGTTGATTTAAATGATTAACCAAAGCTTAACATATGCAGAACTTTGGGCTGAACAGACAAGATGTTGGTTTTCTTCTTGGTTGCTAACCTGGTCAGTCATTAAAAGGACAAGCACTAATACAAGTTTTAAAAAAGGTGATTTTGACTCTTAGATGCTCTCTTATGTTTTATTAAACTTTAAAGTCCTCCAACTGTTTGACTTAAGCACAAGTCAAAGAGCTTCCTAGAGTCACTGCCTTTTAGATCTTTTTCTCCTCGTACAATTTTCCTGAGATATAATTCTCGTACCATAAAATTCACTCTTAAGTATACAACTCAGTGGGTTTTGGTATATTCACAGTGCAATGTGCACCCAGTGTGCAACCATCACCACCATGTAATTCCAGGACATTTTCATCAGGCCCAAAGGAAACTCTGGGTCGTTAGTAGTCACACCTTATTCCCTTGGTCTCCCCACATGCCGGCAACCACTCAGCTATTTTCTGTCTCTATGGGTTTGCCTATTTTGGACATTTCATTTAACAGAATCATAAAACATATATTTTTCTGTATGGCTTCTTTTGGCTTGATGTTTTCAAGATTCAGTCATGTTATAGCCTCTATCGGTACTTTGCTCCTTTTTATGGCCAAATAATATTCCATTGTCTGGATATACAAAATTTTGTTTATCTGTTCATCCACTGATGAACATTGGGTTACTTCTACTCTTTGGCTCTTATGAGTATAACTGCTCTGAACATCTGTGTACAAGTTTTATGTGGACACAAGTTTACAGTTCTCTTGGGTATACTCTAGGAGAGGAACTAATTACTGGTTCATATGGTAACTGTTTAGCTTTTTGAGGGAACACCAAACTGTTTTCCACGGTGGCTATACCACTTTACATTCCCACCAGTAATGAATGACAGCTCTAGTTTCTCCACATATCCTTGCCAACATCTCTTACTGTCCTATAGTATCTTTTTATAATAAGGTTTTCCCCCATTCTGAATAGAAACTGAGTATCCGGTCTTCTGAAGAAATTACCCCAATGATGGCAGAATTCAGTGCCTAGACCATAATCAACTAAGACACTTTCCCAGTGAGAAAGCAGAAATGAAATGGCCCTTCTGAGCACTCACCTGCTGCAGATCAGCGAGGGAATACAAGTGGATCTGTTGAAGGAGGTATTCTCTGGGGAAAATTCTGAAAACAAGGACAGAAACATAAATGAACTGCGGTGCTGCCACAAAGCAAGTTTTGTCTCTTTCAAGATCCCTTTCCACCAATACTTTTCTTCCCAGCATTCTCTGAGAAACCTGTTAACAACACCCCTTTTCTTTACACAGATACTAAGATGGAAATAAAAGTTTGATCTTTGACTTTTTTAAAAAAATTCCTAAATGAGTTTATTTCAGGACAAAAAGGAGCAATGCTCTGTTTTGTTGTTTTAACTGAATGAAGTTGACATACAATATTCTATTAGTTCCAAGGATTCAACAAAGTGATTGAATAGTTATATACATGAAGTGAACACCAAGATTATCATCAGAGTTGTAAATTAGCTATATTCTCTATGCTGTACACTGTATCACTGCTTATTTTAGAAGTTTGTATCTTTTAATCTCCTTCCCCTCTATTATCCCTTACCCCATGCCACTCCCCTCTGTCAAGCATCATATTATTCTCTATCTACGAGTGTTTTATTTTGCTTTCTTAGATTCCACATGTAAGTAAAGTATTTGTCTTCTCTGTCCTATTTCACTTAGTATTATACCCTCTAGATCCATCCATGTTGTTGCAAATGGCAAAGTTTCATTATTTTTTTATGGCTGGGTAATATTCCATTGTATGTATATGCTACCTCTTCTTTACCCATTCATCTACTGATAGATATTTAGGTTGCTTCCTATCTTGCTTGGTTATTGTAAATAATGCTGTAATGAATATAAGGATGCATATTCTTTTCAAATTAGTTTTTTTCTGTAGATAAATACCCAGAAGTGGAGTTGCTGGATCATATGTTTTTAATTTTAATTTTTTGAGGAACCTACATACTATTTTCCATGGTGATGGCAGCAAATTACATTCCCTTTTCCCCACATCCTCACCAACCCTTGTTACTTGTCTTTTTGATACTAACCATTCTGATAGGTGTGAGTGATATCTCATTGTGATTTTGATTTACATTCCCCTGATGATTAGTGATGTCAGCACCTTTTCATGTTTCTGTTGGCCCTCTATGGAGCAATGTCTTCAGATCCTTTGCCTATTTTTTTAATTGGTTTGTTTTTACGATATTGAATTGTGAATTCTTTATATATTTTGGATATTAATCCCTTTCAGTTATGTCATTTGCAAATATCTTTTCTCATTCAGTAAGTTATCTTTCCATTTTGTTGAGGGTTTTCTTCACTGTGCGAAAGCTTTTTACTCTGAAATAGTTCCATTTGGTTTTGTTTTTGCTTTTGTTGCCCTTGCCTGAGGAGACAGATCAAAGAAATACTGCTAAGACCAATGCCTAAGAACCTACTGCCTATGTTTTCTTCAAGGAGTTCCGCGGTTTCAGGTCTTACATTTACATCTTTACCCGATTTTGAATTTGTTTTGTATTTGATATAAGAAAATGGTTCAGTTTCATTCTTTGGCATGTAGTTGTCCAGTTTTCCTAACATCATTTATTGAAGAAATTGTCTTTTCCTTGTTGTATATTCTTGCCTTCTTTGTTGAACATTAATTGAACATATAAGCATGGATTTATTTCTGGACTTTTCTATTTTGTTCCATTAATTAATGTCTGTTCTTGTGCCACTGCCATAGTGTTCTGATTACAATAGCTTTATAGTATAGTGGGAGATCAGGGCATGATACCTTCAGCTTTGTTCTTCCTTCCAAGATTGCTTTTGCTCCTCAGGGTCTTTTGTGCTTCCATACAAATTTTAGGATTAGTTGTTCCGGTTTTGTGAAAAATGCCATTAGTATTTTCATTGGGATTCTGCTGAATCTATAGATTGGAGCTAGTAGATTTGGATAGTAAAGATATTTTAACAATATTAATTCTTCCAGTCCATGGTACCTCTTTCCATTTATTTGTGTCATCTTCAATTTCTGTCATCAGTGTTTTACAGTTTTCAGTGTATAGGTCTTTCATTTCCTCAATTAAATTTATTCCTAGGTATTTTATTCTCCTTGATGCAACTGTAAATGCAACTGTTTTCCTAATTTCTATTTATGATAGTTTTATTAGTGAATAAAAATCCAAGTGATTTCTGTATATTAATTTTGTATCCTGCAACTTTACTGATTCATTTATTCGAATAGTTTTTTAGTGAAGTCATTAGGGTTTTCCATATATAGGGTCATGTTATTTGCGAAGAGTCACAGTTTTATTTACTCTTTCCAGTTAGGATGCCTTTTATTTCTTTTTCTTAAATGTTTTCTTGAAGCTAGGACTTCCAATATCATGTTGAATAAAAGTGGTGAGAGTGGGTGTCTTTGTCTTGTGCCTGATCTCAGAGAAAAAGCTTTTAGCTTTTCACCACTGAGTATGATGTTAGTTGTGGGTTTGTCATATATGGCCTTTACTATGTTGAGGTATGTTTCTTCTGTACCCACTTTGCTGTGTTTCCATAAGTATATGTTTAATTTTGTCATCCTTTTTCTGCATCTATTGAGATATTATATAATTTTTACCCTTCTTTCTGTTGATGTGGTATATCAAGTTGATTGAGTCTGTGGATATTGAGCCATCCTTGCATTCCTGGAATAAATCCCACTTGATCACTGTGTACGATCCTTTCAATGTATTATTGAATTTGGTTTGTTAATATTTGGTTGAGGATATTTATGTGCATGTTCATCAGCAATACTGGTCTGTAATTTTCTCTCTTTTTTTTGGGGGGGGGGATGTCTTTGATTTTGGTATTAGGCCAATGCTAGCCTCACAGAGCGTATTTGAAAGTGTTCCTTTTCCTCATTTTTTTTTTTGGAATAGTTTGAGAAGGATGGGTCTTAACTCTTCTTTAATGTTTGGTAGAATTCACCTATAAAGCCATCTGGTACCGGACTTTTGTTTGTTGGGAGTTTTTTGATTACAGATTCAATTTCATAATTGGTCTGTTCAGATTTTCTATTTCTTCTTGATTCAGTCTTGGAAGACTGGGTGTGTCTAGAAATTTATCCTGACCTTTGATTCAAATATAATACAAGGTGCTATGAGTACCACGTAGTGGCCCAGGGATGAGGACCAGGGCATCAGGTTTCTTGCACCAGCTGGGTTCCTCACAAGCTGTGTCATCTCAGGCAAGTGCTTTCATAGGGATTCTGCTGAATCTATAGATTGGAGCTAGTAGATGTGGATAGTATGGACATTTGAACAATATTTTTCCAGTCCATGGTACGTCTTTCTATTTATTTGTGTAATCTTCAATTTGAATTATTTTGTATTTGATATAAGGAGCTAGTAGATTCAGCTTCTAAACTGTTTTATAAAGATGAATGAATACAATGTCTTCAAATATCTTTCCAGTTCTGTGCCTAAATTAACAGATTTTGGAGTTGAGAAAATTGATTGGTGTGGCAACCTGTGTATCTTTGTCTAAAGGCTTCTATGGCTTTCATTAATGGAGACAATGATGCTGAGTATCCCATTAATGAACTATCCTTTTACATATATAGTGATGAATTTTAGGATAGGTACAGATGGGAATAATGGGATGAAATATTTACATTGGGAGTCTCTGACAAAGTCTAATATCTTTAGCTGCTGTCAGTTCACAGCATCTGGATAAATAACACTGAATAGGAAACAATGATGAATTATGGGCAAGGAGATAGGTACCAAAGTGTTGACGGTCAGAACCTTCCCCCACCAACAGACATACATTCCCCAAACAAAACTCATGATGCTTGCTAGCATTTTTTTTCTGTTTTATATGGTACTATGCAATCTTCCTGTACTCTAAAGGGAAGAAGCAACCAATTTATTCAACTAACATTTATGACTGTCCACTATATACCAAGCACTGGGCCAGGCACTAGGTAGATAATTAGGAATAAGATAGTCCCAGTACTATGTTCAAGGACCATTAAGTCAACTGAGGAAAAGGTATATAAACTGATAACTGAGAATGATAAGTTATGCACATGATACATACTTTTAGAATGGTTTAGCATGTTGGATCCCAAACCTTGGCTGTCTATTAAAATCACTTGGGGGTGCCTGGGTGGTTCAGTTGGTTAAGTGTCTGCCTTCAGCTCAGGTCATGATCCCAGGGTCCTGGGATCAAGCCCCACATCAGGCTCCCTGTTCAGCGGGGAGTCTGCTTGTCCCTCTCTCTCTGCCCCTGCTACTGCGCTCTCTCTCTTGTGCACTCTCAAATAAATAAAATCTTCTAAAAAATAAAAAAATAAAATCAGGTTTTAGAAGATAACAGGGTATAAGCATGGGTAGAACCCAGAAATTAGTTGTTAAAACAAAACTTTGCTGGTGATTAGTGCAGCCAAGGTTGAGAACCACTGACCTAATATCTAGCTCATTGGGCAATTCAGTGTTTCAGTTCAGTATGCATTATTGGACAATCCCTAGAGACTAAATCATTCATTCCTCCATTCATCTTTCTATCCATCCAATACAGATTAAGCACACCTATGTGCCACCCCCTGTACTAAGCCACGGAAGAAAGGGCACTGAACCTATTAGATAAAGTCCTTCCCCCATGGACGCCTGGTGTAGGCATATGCTAGTTTGGAGTTCTCCTGGGAAGTATGACAGGCTCTGGAGAATTCTGCTGAAAAGCCCTGTTTCATCCACAGAAATGAGAACAAACCGAGTGGCAAGGCCCTTATACTCTGGGAAATATGGTACAGTACCAGGCTGGGCTCCCTTCAACTCTGTTGCTTCAGGGCCACACCTGTGGCAGGAAGCGGGCGCACATTCCAAGCCCAGCTAGGCAGGTTGTAGGGCAAGTGTCTACTCTTCCAAGTGAGAATAAGCTTCCCTACCACAGAGAGGCTCTCTGTTGTAGAAGGCAGACCACTTCCTTTTTCAACAACACACGTGTAAGACAGAGATGATCGAGAGATCTGTTCCTCAATGGCATCCTATAGTATTAAGCATCAGTAATAGTAATGGAGCCCACTGTGGGCTGGGCACTTGACACATCATTTCATTTGATTCTCACAATTGTCTTGCGTGTTAAGTACAA